ATCTATGTTTGTTGTTATGAATAAGATTATCAGAAAAAAAATACTGAATTGACTTTATGTAACGAATTCCATCATTTTTAAATAAAATTGGCAATGTAAAGACAGAATCAAAGAAAAAAGGTACTGGAAGAAAATTCTGTTAAAAATTAAACATCATTAAAATGAACTTTCATGTGAGAGATGTTAACATTTGTAATAAGAGAGACTATAAAAACAAAAATTAGATTAATGATTTTAAATTGAGTCAAATTAAAATGTTACATTTTGGTATATGAAGTGAGGTAAGAATTCAACATAGTTTTTTCATTTGTTAGAAACAGAAATATGCAAAAATAAATAAAATTGATCATTAATGTATTTACTTTTATGAAAAAAAAAAAATCTGAGAAAAAAAAATAACTTTAAGTGAAAAATGTTACATTAACTTCCAAGTGACAAGTCTAAATTTCCTAAATTATATCTTTTTAGTGAATTTTGCACAAAAAATGTTTTTTTTGCAATGAAAACATAATAGAGCAAGTCCAAAGAAAATGAAAAATACTTTTCATACTGCAATTAAATAAGTTATTCCAAATATTTAAAAAAAAAAAAAAAAAATTTTTCAAGCCGACCGCAACAGCAAACCAAAAACAAATCTTTGCTCCTAGAACAAGATTTGAGATAGGCCTCCAGTTCTGGGTGAGAGATGCACTATGACTTGGCTTTTAATAAAAGGCACACCTGTATTCATATTTAAGATTGCTATATTTTTGTTAAGGACATTTTCTAATTGGACCAACCAAATTAAGATTCATCCAGGAAGACTGAAATTTTAGTGGGTATTGCTAGTGTACCTAATTTCAGTAGATTGTTCTGGTTCCACATGTCATGCCTCTTCTGGATGTCTCAGTTACCTCTACTTTAACTGAACTTGCCAAGTTTTTGGCCATCACTGTAGTAGCCAGGTATTAAACTTACAACCCTTTAGGTTAAGTCACTAATATCCAACCAATGCTGGGCCATGTGTCCTTGAGGACATCAGTGTATGATTTTTTGGGACTTATAAACTTAATGTCTCGGAAACTTTTTTTTTTTTTTTTTAACCAGTGCTCATATTGCAATTTTATTATTGCTTTTCTCTGGTTCCCATATTGTATTCAGTTCTATGCTTGGCCAGCTTAAGAGATTTTTGCATCTGTGGTGATTCCTTAAGTTTTCGTAAAGAAAACAGATATGCTAAGCTGGCCAAGCACATAAATGAATGCAACATGGGAACCAGTAATAATGGGTGCTAGAGAAGAGCAATAATAACAACAAAAAATTACAATATGAGCTCTGGTAAAAACAAATAATTGAACTGAGACATTAAGTTTATATGTCCCAAAAAGGTAGCCACTTATGTTCTCAAGAACACATGGCCCAGTGGATAAAAGCATTGGCTGGATCCAGTGACTTAACCTAAAGAGTTGTGAGTTCAATACCAGCCTACTGCAGTGGTGAACAAAAACTTGGAAAGTTGAGTTAAGGGAGGCATCTGGAAGGGCCATGGCATGGCATGTGGAACTAGAATAAAAAAAAAAAAAAAAAGGGGTTCTGTTCAAAGTTCTCATCAAATCACCTGAAGAAGGCTGGAGTATACAGTGGCTGAAACATCATGATTGACACTTTTTCAATGTTTTAGATGACTTCCTTAAGATGACTTCCTTATAAAGTCCAAAGTTTTTCCAGTACCAAGTCTTATCAATTTATTATCTATGTTGCATTTTATGATCTTAGAGATGAATGATCACCCCCCTTTCCCCAAAAGGATTAACATTGCAAGCTATTCTATCTCTATTTCCATGGCAAACAATTTGACAAGATCTCTTCTTTAGTGTTAACCTGTTTAGACCTTTACAACTAAGATTCACCATGTTATGTCCACAGGTAGAATCACTGTCATTCTCTTTGTATTTCATTTGTAAGAAAGAATGTCCAGTCAGAGAACTTCTTCCCAAGAACACCTACTGTGTGAAACAGACTCCCACATGGAATCTTCCCTCAAGCATTACAATGTTAACCTCTTCAAGTCAATAGGTAACTGTTATCCATCCTCTTTATCCTCACATCCTACATCCATGCCAAACACCACCTCATTAACTAACCCCTCTACCTTGAGAGGCTTTTGGGCCCTGTATTGAGTAAACATTAATAAAAAATAAAAAAAATTGTTCTAAATTTTCATTTTGAGAATTTTTTTTTTTTTAAAACTTACTAACATTTGGTCATATTCATCCCAAGATTGCTACTTGAAGACCAATTTTACAAATTACTAAATGAATTGACAAATTTTAGTAGCATTGGATTTCCGAAATGCATCCCAATCTGCCAAACCTGATCTATCCAATATTTGTCAATATGGAAAGCACAATAATAACGTTAAAATATGATTTGCAACCAAACTCCAAAATAAAAAAATAAAAAAAATCTAAGAATTTCAAGATCTAAGAATTTCAATAATTTTGTATATAAGAAAGCAAAACTGACATGAAATCTAATTTTCTTCAGATTAACAAATAACAATAAAAAGATCAGCACTTTAGAAAGTTAATAAAGAAAATATGAACTCGAAAAACAATGTAGACATAGGGATCAACACTACATGGTGACTGTCAGTTTGATGCTTCAATGCAATTTTCAGACCAAAGATCAACAAAGTCTGAAGGTCACATTGAAACTGCTAGTCACCCTGCAGTGTTGATACTTGTAGCCACACTGTCTATACCTATAAATTATCTATCTCCAATATTAAGCACCCTTCCTCTCTATATATAGTAAATTTTAAGCATTTATAGTCAACATATACATATCTTTGTCTCCGAGATGAGGTATTGTAATTATTTGCATTGTTCAGACTGCTGTCCTCATCTTTATCGTTATATTCACGTTTCAACCAGGTGATATACATATATATAAGTAGTTATAGTACCTCATCTCAGAAATAGACAGAAATTTTCCAAAGCATTGTTTTCATCTTTGACATAGACATCAATATTAACTTAGATTAATTAAGTGTTGCTGTCAGCTCACCGTCAATCTCTGAATCGGGTATTAAAACTTGGTCGAAAGATTGTAAGGACATCTCTAACAATCAATGAGAATGATGGTTTGAATAAGTTAAAGTATATGATGTCAATTTTTTCTTTTTTTAGGTGGGTAAGTCTTGAGGTCAAGTTATTTATAGCCCTCCCCCTTCATATTACATTGATGAAACATTAACTTCCCCTTCTATGGGGCTGGTACAAGGAGTTTCCAGTTTCATTATTTTCAAAATGACTGGATCTTATGCTCAATCTCTCAGCAGGAAACCAAATAAGTGGACAAACAAACAAAATCAACAGTAATGATAATCTGATTTATTACCTACCAGTGTTGTCTATGCACTAGTAGATAGCATTTAATCGAATTCAAAAAAAAAAAAAAAAAGAAAAAAAGGTTTTAATAAGTGAGATTTTGAATAATTTGGAATCAATAACATAATATCCATTTTTTTTTAAAATGAGGGCAGAAAAAAAAATGAACTGATTTTTATGATGATGATGATGAGTTAGTGGCTTATGAAAGAAATATGGAGAGGGGGGGGCATACATATACACATGCAGGCACAAACTAATTATTCTCTCCCCCCTCCTCCCCAGATATCACTGGAAGTTATTATCATTTCTACATTTCTAGGAGCAAGCAAGATGCCTAGGATGAATCAATTAGTTTTAAAAAAATAACATTCTCAAGAACAAGAAAGTTAAGCACAAATAATGAATGCACTGCCTGCTAACACACATACATTATATATATATATATATATATATATATATATATATATATATATATATATATATATATATATATATATATATATATATATATATATAACAAACACACATTGACTTTGTAATAATAAATACTACCAACAATCATCTTACAAATGAGTTTGGTTGCTCGCAAGGGGAAAATTGACCAACCCACAGCCAAATGATAAAATTCAAACTAGGTTTAAAAGAAAAAAATAAAATAAAAACTATCATGAGAAAAAAAAAAAACCAACAAATGTGAGGAACACTTATTTGCAACAAGGTACGTGGGTTATCTCCCTTGTTTACAGGCTAAATTTCCTGCATTTGATTGCTTTAAGAAATTGATTGTGTGCTACTCTTAACAAATGCTTCCACATGTATTAGGATTTTTTTGTTGCATTTTCTCATGCGCCAAATGTTTATTCAACGTCCAGACTGCGGTATGTTCCAACCAAACATTCCATAGCTTCATCTTTTATTAAATGTTTACTAGCTACTTGTAATTCTTCAAAGCCATATTTGCTTTCTTCTTCAAATTCAGCATCAAACTTTAATAATCTTTGGATCCATTCCTGAAAGAAGAAATTCGAACAACTTAACATCAATCAACAATAGTAGTTGAGACAACATTTTCTTAAAAACGTTTTCAGGTACAAAGTTGGTAAAGAGAGTTTGAAATCTGTCTGAGGCTACACTTTGTACTGATATCCTTCCAAAGTCATGAACCCACCTCCCCTAAGGCATTGTCTTAGAGCTAGATTCCTTGACATTGAAATATCAAGAGACTGAATGAACTTAGTTATGAGAGATTGTTGACTTATTTTATTGGCAGCTAGCAAAATGGTTGTTAATTTGATAGTCAACCTCGTGGTCAGTATGTTGATAGTCAACCTCGTGGTCAGTATGTAATTGTTCTATTTGTTCTTGGAATTGACAGTTTATTCAGTGATTTTACTTTGAGACAAAGATTTTATGCTAAAAACAGAGTTAAGAATCATCTTTTATTTGAAATTAATTAGCAAGTCAAAACTAAAAAGTGTGTTGAGAAACAATGAATAAAGATTAAAAAATATCACAGTATTGCCATTGGCAAGAAAGGTGGAAAATGGCAGAAAAACAGGCAGGCCAGAAAGGGGGGGGAATGGCGTGAAAAGCGGCAGGCCAGAAAGGGGGGAAAAAAGAGGCAGGTCAGAAAGGGGGGAAATGGCGGGAAAAATGGCAGGCCATAAAAGGGGGGAAAATGGAAAAAGTGGCAGGCCATAAAAGGGGGGAAAATAAGGAACAAAGAGACAGGCCAGAAAGATTAAAAAAAGAGGCAGGCCAGAAAAGAGGGAAAGTGGCAGGAAAAAGGAAAAAGAGGCAGGCCAGAAAAGAGGGAAAGCGGCGAAAAAGAGGCAGGGCGAAATGGGGGGAAATGACGGAAAAGAGGCAGGCCGAAATGGGGGGGGAATGACGGAAAAAGAGGCTGAAAGGGGGGGAAATGATGGGAAAAGAGGGGGAAATAGGGGGGAAATGACGGAAAAGAGGCAGGCCTAAATGGGGGGGTTGATGGAAAAGGAGGCAGGGCGAAATGGGGGGGGGGATGACGGAAAAGAGGCAGGCCGAAATGGGGGGGATGACGGAAAAAGAGGCAGGCTGAAATAGGGGGGAAAATGACGGAAAAAGAGGCAGGAAGAAATAGGGGGAATGACGGAAAAGAGGCAGGTCGAAATGGGGGGGGGGGAATGACGGAAAAAGAGGCAGGCTGAAATGGGGGGGAATGACGGAAAAAGAGGCAGGCTGAAATGGGGGGAAATGACGGAAAAAAGAGGCATTTAAATGGGGGGGAATGGAAAAGGAGGAGGCCGAAATGGGGGGATGGTGGAGAAAGAGGCAGGCCGAAATGGGGGATGGTGGAGAAAGAGGCAGGCTGAAATGGGGGGATGGTGGAGAAAGAGGCAGGCCGAAATGGGGGGGAAATGGCACAAAAAGACGAGGCCAGAAAAGGCTGAAAATGGCACAAAAAGACGAGGCCAGAAAAAGGGGGGGGAAAATGTCGGAAATAGACGCAGGCCAGAAAAGGGGGAAAATGTGGAAAAGAAGCAGGCCAGAAAAGGGGGGGAAATGTCGAAAAAGAAGCAGGCCAGAAAGGGGGGAAAATGTCGAAAAGAAGCAGGCCAGAAAAGGGGGGGAAATGTCGGAAAAGAAGCAGGCCAGAAAAGGGGGAAAATGTTTGAAAAAGAAGCAGGCCAGAAAAGAGGGGAAAATTTTGGAAAAGAAGCAGGCCAGAAAAGGGGGGGGGAAATGTCGGAAAAAGAAGCAGGCCAGAAAATGTCGGAAAAGAAGCAGGCCAGAAAAGGGGGGAAAAATGTCGAAAAGAAGCAGGCCAGAAAAGGGGGGAAATGTCGGAAAAGAAGCAGGCCAGAAAAATGTCGGAAAAGAAGCAGGCCAGAAAAGGGGGGAAAATGTCGGAAAAAGAAGCAGGCCAGAAAATGTCGGAAAAAGAAGCAGGCCAGAAAAGGGTGGAAAATGTCGGAAAAAGAAGCAGGCCAGAAAAGGGTGGAAAATGTCGGAAAAAGAAGCAGGCCAGAAAAGGGTGGAAATGTCAAAAAAAGAAGCAGGCCAGAAAAAGGTGGAAAATGTCAGAAAAGAAGCAGGCCAGAAAAGGGGGGAAAATGTCGGAAAAAGAAGCAGGCCAGAAAAGGGGGGAAAATGTCGGAAAAAGAAGCAGGCCAGAAAATGTCGGAAAAGAAGCAGGCCAGAAAGGGGGGGAAAATGTCGGAAAAAGAAGCAGGCCAGAAAAGGGGAAAATGTCGGAAAAGAAGCAGGCCAGAAAAGGGGGGAAAATGTCAGAAAAAGAAGCAGGCCAGAAAAGGGGGGAAAATGTCGGAAAAAGAAGCAGGCCAGAAAAGGGGGGAAAATGTTGGAAAAAGCGGTAAACCAGAAAATAGGGAAACTGGCAGAAAAAGAAGCAGGCTAGAAAAGGGGGAACCAGTGAAAAAAGAGGGATAAAGAAAAGAGCGAGAGGGGTGGGGAGAGCAAGATAGAGGAAAGCAATGAATACAGTTAAGCTGTAGAAAAAAAATAAGAAAAGTATAAAAATTTAATGAAAATGTTTGATATTCGGACAATGAAGTTAAAAGTCCATATAAAATAACTTTATGATCAACAATGAACTTACTTGATTGTCAGAGACAGGAAGATAGCCATAATAATCCTGAGGCAAATACTCTGGAGACACAAATTCATGTAATGCTTTCACATTTTGCCCATGGAAATATAACTGAGAGAAAGAAGAAAACAAGATGAATTTCTGAAGTTGACATGAAATTAACAAGATTGTTGTATTGTATTAATCAAAGCAACAGAAATGACATAATGCATATTAATTCAGTTTTATTCATGAATTCAGTTTGTCCAGGTGATGCTGTTGTTAGTGCCAGGTTTTATTCAAAATTCCAACAACATTACTGAAGAAGATAAAAGGCTTCAGTGGCTAAGACATTGATTTTACTGAATATAAATGCTTGCAAACAAGCAAATTGAGAGTCAACAAGAATTGCATAAAAACATGATCGTTTTTCGATTTGACATCACCACCATTCAACATTTTATTCTGTTGACTCTTATAATGCTAAATAAGCAAATTCTTTCTGTCCGCTTCCTTACTTTCATTACAGTCGATAAATTTAGCAATATAATTACTTTCTTCCTTGATTATGTAGAGTTAGACAATAATATTGCATTTATGTTTACAACATATGGAATTAATAATAACACATTCTGTTAATGTAATGCAAAATGACATCTCCTTGTAATTTATGTCAGTTATTCAAGCATCAGTAAGAGTAGATAGTTCTACCTATCACCCAGTCCATACCTGTCTTTTGAACGGGAGTAGTAGAGTAGTAGTAGTAGTTTCCCCTTTAGAATAGGGTTTCCTTTTTCTGAGGCCTTAATAAAGATGGCTGTCAGGAATTTTTGGTGATATGACTGAATGGAGGCTACAACTTTTCATCCTGGAGGTACCAGTTTGGCAATTTTCTGGTTGGTGCATCCTGACTGGTAGTTAGTAGGCCAAACTCTTGGCTAGCATTTAGAGAGGCTGCTCTGATCACCAGTTAAATCATATCAAGGTTCTTGCAGTACCATGTCGTGCATGGAAAAGTCTCCCTGCAAGCACTTCCAAGGGGCAACACTATGCTGCAATCTGTGCCAATTCCTTACCAGCATATATTACTTTTAGATGACTGGCAGCTACTAATATTCTTTGCCTTTTCTACCTTTAAAAACATACCATGACTAAAAGCAATAAACCAAATACAACTACCCCCACCCACTGTCCAAAAACACCTCAACCTTTCTCCAACAGTCATGATATTCCTACAAATTTCTGCAGTGTGGAATTGTTGCTCTTGGAAAACTCTTTGGACATCCTAACTCTCTGTAAAACTAATCTGATTTCTTCAACTTCCACTGTTCCTGGCTATCTTCTTCTCTTTTGGAAAGACTCTAGTGTCCACATGTATGGCCTTGGTGTCTAAGTACAGGAACATTTCTCGCTGGCAAGAGAACTCTCTCTTCAGTTTCTAGATTGTTCTTACATGTACCTCTGACTTTCTCTACTAAACTATCTCCTCTTCTATCATCATCATCATTCTTCTTCTTCTTTGCATGATTGTTGCATTCTAGATAGAATTTCTGATAGTATAGATAAGGCCCTCTCTCTACACCTGTCTGCAAATATCTTTGTGTTCAACAACTTTAATGCCAACCATGTCAGGTGACTTAATCAACCAAATGCCACTTTGCCAGCATCCAGATCTTGAACTTCACTATGACTCAATCTCTCACTCAAATAGACTTCTCCATGTGTTTACCCAGTAATTCTAATGGGCACATTTCTCTTTGTGGTCTCTTCCTTATCTCCACACTGAACTCATGTCATGTTCTGCGGCTCTGCCTTCTTGGCAACTCTAATCATGCAGTGGTATCTATAGGTATTTCTTTCCATTCTCCTATCAGTCACATACTTCCTATTAAGAGAATATCTTTATCATCAACATGCTAATTGAGGCTCGTTTTGTGTTTTCCTTTTCCTTGTTCCTTGGAATTATATTTTTAATCATCCTGTTCATAAATGTGCCATTGAGGTTTCTTCCTGGGTGAAAGCTGGCATCAAAGCTTTCATTCCAGCATAGAAATATCAAGTGAAACCACAATCTTCTCCTTCGTTCTCACCTGCCTTCTCAGCCGCTATAGCCCACAGGAATTACTTATTCTGGCTATACCAGAGTGATAGGTCTGATTGTAACAGATGTCTCTTTGTCATTGCTCCTAATAAGTACAAGTGTGTCCTCAAAGAAGCAAAGTCGTGATTGGCTGATAGAATTGGACTCTGTATAGCCTCTCACAAGTTGGATTCTAGAGATTATTGGTGGCTCTGCAAGATATACACTGAACAATCACAAATCCTCAGTTATTCCTCTCTTCAATCAATTTGAAGTATTAACATCTGCTGCAGATAAGGTAGAGTGCTTTGCTCAAAATTTATCTTCTAACTCCACTCTCAATTCATCAGGAGTTCCTCTGACAGATTTTCTCCCTAAAAAGGAGGCTCTACTTAGTGATATGCACATAACCTCACTGTTTTCTGACATCATTTCTAAATTAGATCTCCACAAGAGAATTAGAAAGGATTCCAGCCATTGTCCTAAAGAAATATATTCCTGAGCTGGTGCCTATTCTCCCCAAACCCTACAACAAATGCCTTACTGGTTCCTGCTTTCCAAATTTTTGAAAATCCTTTGTGATTCCTTTTAAGAACTCTGGAGAACCCTCTGACACCCTCAAAATATTGCCCTATTAGTCTCTTACCTATTTTCAGTAAAGTACTTGAGGCTTTAATCAATGCCAAATTGGTTAAGCACATTACTTTGCACAACCTCGTTTTGGACAAACAATATGCCTTCTGTTTTGCCAGGTCTACCACTGACATGTTAATGGCCATCATTGAATTTGTCTGTCAAGCTTGAGATAAGAATAGCAATGCTCAGGCTGTGACTCTAGATATCTCCTATCTTAGTAACAAATTCAAAGTAAACTTGGTAACTGCTCTTGAAAAGGACCTCCAATCTGTGGTTAACTGGGGCAAGAAATGGCTTGTAAATTTTAACAGTTCCAAAACAAAACTGTTTTCATTTAACCACCAAAGAGAACCTTTTCTGCCTGCCATCATCATGGCTGGTGCTAGACTCCAGGAGAACAACACTCTACACCTTCTTGGCTTCATGTTTTCCACTGACATGAAGAGGAGCAACTATATTGAATCAATTGCTACATCTAATGCATGGAAAGTTGGTTCACTATGTTGTGCCAGAAAATTTTTCTTGTCAGAATCTTTCTTGCACATTTATAAATCTACCATTCATCCATGCATTGAATGCTGTTAGCATGTCTGGTCTGGTCTGGTTTGGTTTGGTGCTCCAACTATGCATCTCGAGGTTCATGACAAAATTCAAAGAAGGGTCTGTAATGTAATTGATTCTGACCAGGCATCTTAACTTCAGTCACTTTCTCAGTGGCTTCCCTCTGTCTTTTCTACAAGTATTTTCTGAGCTTTTTTCCCTGGTGCCCCAACTGCATGGATTTAAGCACGCTACTAGATTGGCAAATAGGTCTCACCATTTTACTGTCGAACCAGCTAGATGCAACTGCCACTTCTACTCTAAAAGTTTCTTTTCTTGCACTTCCCACCTGTTAAACTCCCTTCTGATTTCTTGCTTCCCTGATAACTACAATCTTCAAAAATTTAAATGCAACATCAGTCACCATCTTCTGTCTTCTTAAACCCTGTTCCTTTTTTTGTCCTTTCCTTTATCTTCCTCATTAACAATCTTCTCATTCACTTTCACTCCCTATAACTCCATGTCTTAGTGGCTTTGCTTGGGATATATATATATGTGTGTGTGTGTGTATGTTTTATAATGTTCATCCAAGATTCCCAACAGCCACTCAAGGTGGAGGGTTACTGTGTAGTGTTATATCCAAAAATATTTTAATTCATTTATCACATTCTACATGTCAGTATACAGTGCACTTTTTCCTCTATAATTTCTTGAAATGCTAATAATTACAGTTAATATTGAGTTGCAAGTGATTTTTATGAACATCTATCTCATCTTTACATATAGACAGGCTCTAGTGTCATAGACTTGGCTAATGAAAGCTTCAAATATTAACTTTTAAATTATGAAAATGATATTATCAATATTTATAAGTCCATTCTATTATAACAATTCCATAGTATATACAAAACAATCATTTTATCAAATCAAAGACAATGACATTTTACCATATTTTCCTTCTTGGAATTAACACTTTCTAAGATAAATTTTTTTTTAAACTAATTATCAAATTAAACAACTTTAAATTTCACAATTATTGAGAAGTCAAAGAAAAATACCTCTAATATCAATCCTAAAAAGAGAATTTACATATTTTAGCTGAGCAACAACAAAAAATGATAAATTATCCATATAACATCATCAGAATTTAATTTTTGCCAATTTCTTTTTGTAGCTGCCTTTCATATAATTTAGATGAAGAAATTGAATGTAAGATCGGCTGCAGTCAGGAATCAACACCACAGAATGCTACAAAACATTAACCTAAAAACTCAAGTCATGTTCTTAAATAGCCTCATCAGATCTAGACTCTCATGTGGATGTCATGAATGACATCCAACTCATTCAGAATTGTTTAAACTATCAGCTCTATACAACCATTTTCACAGATCAAAGATTAAAAATGGCATCAAGCAAATGAATCCAGTAAATATTGCATTTTATGATTGCCATTCATTCCAGTCTTTATAGAATTATCCCAATCAAAATATTTTATTTCTCTGAAAGACTGTAAAAAAAAAAAAATGCACAGAAATTTTATTGGCTGAAAAAGGCAAAATATTATAAGAGTATGGAATTAGGAAGTTGACAGAAGATGGTGTGAAATAGTTGCAAAATATATGTGGTTGGAAGAAAAGTTCCCAGAGTTTGTAGAAAAATAATTTATTTCGAAATCATGAGACCTTTCCCCTCAAACCAAATATACTCATTCCTAAACAAATGAAAAATTATTGATGTTGAATTGTGTTTATGGCTAAGATTTCTACTATTTGTAATCATTTACAGTTTATGTGCTATGGAGTTTTTGCATTATTGATAAACATTAGGCAAATCTTTTGTGCTTTGTTGCCAGAAAAAATGGTTTGAACTACAAAAAAATTAAATAAAAAAATCTTACAGAATTTTCATTGCTTTTCAATCAAATCTGCATAAATGAAAAATGGATGCTCAAAATTTTTTCTTTTTTTTTCAAGCATTTTACTCCAAGCAAGGCAGGAGTGCCACTGGTTTACAGGGGGTGATATAGAGTGAAGGTGAGAGAAAAAAAACTATATTTGCTATAGTCAGTTATTGCCCCTTTAGATTACCATTCATCTTGGTAATAACAATTATCTGAATAAAAATGTCTCAGTTACCTGGAAATTGCAAAAGACATCATGAGCAATTCTTTGCTGAGAAAGATAAAAAAAAAAAAAGTCCCAAGGGGATGAATTTAAGAAGTTGTAAGATAGTGAAAGACAGTGGAACAAAATTCCCAAAGGTTTCTTGTATTCTTTGCTGTTGTAAACTATTCACTTTTCATTGGTTGTCATAATCATTATTCTTTATGTAAAAACATAGAAATACAGTCCAATAAGTTTATACTGCTTATGTGGAAGCCATACATTAAAATGATTAACATAATCAAACAGGTGTAAAAATATTTTGACTATCTTTCACAGTGTATGACACTAATTATTCTCATCCTGGGTATGATGATAAAATACATCCAGCAGCAAGACCTCTGGTCGGGAGATTTTGAGGAGCATGGAACCACCTCTTAATTGCTGTTGTTTCCAGGTCAACCCTGACCCAGGATATAACACCTGTTAAGGTCCCAGCTATGGGCAAATATGTAGTTAAAGCCAAACTGGGGTCAGGATACTATGAAGGTATAAAAATGTATTTTTATAGTAAGAGTACCAGTAATTCATTTTTGAAAAAATAGATATTCTATTCATATAAATCAACTTTAAAAATTGCCTGCATTAAATAACCCATTGGGGTATTGATATGCCATAAAACAAAATTAACCAAACCAAACCAAACCAGTTTTTCTTAAGTCATCACTATGAACATTGTTGTCTTCAATCATGCTTCATTCTATGAAAAATCTTCAGTATTAACTTTGCAATCCCCATTCATGGTACTTTCTTCGTAAATTGTACGTCATCTTTTTACTTTTCTTAAAATAAAAATTCATGTAAAAAAATACTGCTTATTTTCTTCCTTCTTCAACATTAGAATCAAAAAGTTTTTTTTTAATCTCATGTTACTATGACAGATGAAAGATTAAATCCTTGCTATTTTCTTAAGATGTAGCATTTATCTTTAAAAATATTCTTTTAGTTGATAAATATTTATAAATAATATTGAAAGGAAAATGAAACTTACCCTCTTGACAATTTTTTCCTTCAAAAATGGTCGGATGATAGAAAAAACAAAATCAAACATGCTAGGTTCATTAATATAATGGATGCCTTTAATTCTCAATGGAAAACATTCCTGAAGTAAAACAAAAAAATAATATAATCAGACTGCAATAGAAAATAATCTCTCTGAATTTCTGAGATTCTGAGATTATAATTATTATATACTGAACCAATTTTAACTAATGTCTTCATTTTGATTATTATAGTCACAATATCACAGCCATTGCATTCACCAATGTTCTTCAATTGCCTGTTGTATTCAAAAACCTCTTTGCTATTTTCAACTGAACCCATTATTCAAAATGATGGGGGTCAACTTTTCTCATTCCATTTTTTATGCTGGAGACATCTTGTATCAGTTACAATTCAAAATCCAGAACCTTCTCACTCCTGTTTGAAGAACCTCTCTCTAATTGAACATGCCGTCAGAAGTTTAGCAGCCATACTCACAATACTTGCAGATTGGTGAGATTATTTAATTCATATTTGGAGATTTTGAATTCAGAGTTTCCTTCTCCTAGACTGGTTGCCACTCAAGACTATTTATCCATAGCTGGAGGGGGTTTATTTGCACATAAGTTAATCTAACAAACTCAACTGATTGCATCAATTAATTCTTAAGTTGTCCTTGTGATAGTTTTTATTTGTTTGTTTTTCTACTGAATGAGAATGTCTACGAATTTCATTCACTGAACCAAGGATTGAGCACTAGTGATAAAAGTGCTGTTCAAATGTATCTAGTTACCTGGGGATTGTGAGTTCAATTCTTGGATGAAGCACTAAAATAATCACATACTCTACTTCAGTGGAAAAACAAAAGCAGCAGGATGAGTTGAAGAATGGGTTAGTGGATTGGTTAAGTGCACCTGGTTACCTGGTGGCTAACAGAAACTGAGAGGAGACAGGAGAACTGTGACAATCAAGATAAAGACACTACTCTGAATAGATCTGTTGATTCCAATTGGGTTAGAAATGGCTGCAAAAATGCTACCCTTTCAAAATTTATAGACAAATACAGATGCATGATGGGATTTCTTTAGCCAATAAGAGAAGTCACTTATCAATCTCATCGGCCATATTTTTGTTCTTTTTTGTTTTGAAGTCAGAAAACTATCATCACTTGCTTGTATCACTTTTGTATAGTCACACCATTCTTACTTTGCAAACTTTTTGCTTTATTACTTATGCTTTGCCTACTTGTCTTACATATATATTTTATCTGCTTAGCATTATTTTTGCCTTGTTCTTTTCTTTTTGTTATTGTTTACTGGAAACTTTGTCAATTCTGTTTGTTAGGCATTTTGGCCAATTACTTTTAACCATAGCCAATTAATTTACAAGATCAATATATAAAAATAATCTAGCTGAAAACAAATTTCTTTAACCCGTGGTTAGAGAAATTTTCTTTTTTAGTTGAAAATGACAAAAATATTTATCTTTATTTTGTAAGGAATTATGATTATGCAAACAAATGATTCCAGTTTGATATTTTTCTTAGGCTAATCTAATGAAGAGAATACATCAGACAATACAAAGATGGTATCAGGAAAAAAAACAATTGCATCATTAACATTAAGAAAAAATTTAACTTTTACTACAAAAATCATGCACCATATTTCATATTATTTGGTCAGCATCAAATCAAAATTATTTTCTTGTCAATCCTGTTATCTGTTCCACCCCTCAAAAAAACTTCACATAATGCCACTTACTTTCATTTGGGTAACTACTGATTTTTCCACTACAAAGATTTCTGCTTTGTCTCCAAATTGTAAATCCAACTTACATCAACGATAAACAGAATACAAACATATATTACAGTATCTCATCTCAGAAATTCAGACAGTAATTTACTTTTATTAGATGTATACAAATCAGTCTCTGATATTTTTTAAAGTTGTGTGAATTTTTGAATATATCTACTCAATTTGCAAAAAAATCTATGACAAAACTATTTCCTGTTGTGGAACAATTTCTTTTCCTTAATTCTGTTGGATTACACGACTGTCAATGTGAAATAATAATGAAATGATGCAGAAAATGATTTTCATGTATCTAAAAACTTAATTTATCCTATGAATTTGTACTATAAAATTTGTTATGAAAATATGTCCCCAAATATACCTGCTGACAATGTCCATCATCATGACTTACCTGTATTAATGAATTAAGCTTTTTGGCATAAAAAGGAGACATGGCTTTGGCCTGTGCCCAACCAAATTCTTTCATGTCAATAATGGCAATGATGCCATTTACTTGGGTTTCTTCATCCTGTGCATAGGAAAAAAAAAGTTTTATTTGAAGAAAGATCTTTGCATTGGTCACACCTGAATAAAAGTATTGATAAGAACAAAATAGAAATATGAAATCATGAGAAAAGGTGTTCTACAGGGAAATATTACAAATTCAATATACCGTACATATTCATGTATAAGCCAACTTCTCACATAGTGTGACCTCTGAATTTTAAGTCCTCCAGAAAAAATTTACCTGTGTATAGTGCAGCCAATCAGTGAAAATGCATAATTTTTAACCTCTTCAAAAAAATTACCTGTGTAAAAAGACCTGATCCTAAAAAACTTGCACTGTACTTGAGTATATATGGTAAATACACTTTGATAAAATCTCAACATTTTCTGCAGCTAAAGAAAAAGTTAAAAAAAAAAAAAAAGAATGTACAATGAAGAAATGAAGGCTGAGAAGTTGTAACTTTCTTGCATTATCAAACTCAGCATCAAGTTACAGTTTTTCCTTAAAATAAATTTATATATTCAAAATTTTATTTATTCTACATTGGATAAAGGTTTTTTTGTTTGTTTTTTTATTAAAAATCTAAAAAAAAAAAATCAGCTTATGATTTGTGGTGAAATAGAAGATGAGAGACATTCAATTCAAGGAAAGATGGTAAGAATAGAATGAAATAAGAAAAAGACTAGAAAACTAACCTCAATTAGTTTGGATAAGATTACAAACCAGGTTTTGTAGTTATCAAATATTGGAAACTTATGAGGATGCCATTTTCCTGTAATGAAAAAAAAATCATTACTTAATTCAGTTTAGCCATGCCATAAAAAAAAGAATGACAACAGGCATGAAACTGATATTTTCTTAAGTCATTATTATTTCAAGGTTTTCACACATGAGTCTTTAACTGTTGTGACCAAGTAAATGATTAAGAAATAACAAAACAAGAGGTTGCAGGTAAAATGTGTATTGAACAGTAAATACAACAGAAGAGTATTACACGACTTGGGAGTGTGTGTGTCGGTTGACCAGCATTCAGTCTATATTACTGTTCCCCTTGAGGCTTACTCTCCTACTAATTTTATAGTAAGTGGAAGAGTCCACAATAGACTCATTAGAGGGAGGACACCACAACATTAAGATAATGTAATTTGAGGGTGGGGGGTAACTGTGACATATTTAGGTAGGATAGAATAATCCAGAATATATACTAGCAGAAAACTGCCTACATACAGACAGAAAATGAATTCAGTAAATATACAAAAAGGGGTCTAAGACAAGTCTTGTCGCTGAACTTATTCAACCTACACAGGCAATTCTGAGAGAATTAGAAGTCCTACCAGGATTCATTATTGCCAGCCACATTCTTAACAACATAAGATATGCAGATAATACTGTGATGATAGAAGATTCAGAAAGGAAACTACAAAAACTTCTAGAGAAGATAGTAAAGGAAAGCAAGAAGAAAGGACTAAACCCCAAATGCAAAGAGATAGAATGCAGAGTTGTTAACAACAGGAACAGCCAAATTACAAATCAGAGATACTAAAATCAAATAAGTACAATTTAAATATCTGAGAAATGTTTAACAGCACCAGAAAGTGCAACACTGAAATTCAAAGGCACATTTATTTTCTATGTGTCATGTCCCTTTATTAAGTTTTAAATCTTTTGAAATTCTGTATTAATTTCAGCTTCTTAATTTATATTATTAAGTGAAAACTATATTTACTAATTATAAACTGAAAAGCTTAATAGGAATCATCAAATACCAATAATTTTTTTGTTTGTAAGTACAGACAACCATACATGACATTATCAGAAAATAAAAGTAATAAGTATAGTAAATTTAAAGCCAAAATTTCTAAGATTCAATAAAACATTAGATTACAGAGAATGTTTTCCTAAATTTTTAAAATTACTGAGTACATAAAAATCATATAAAAAAAAATGGTGCTCACGTCATTGTCTTAAATTATGTTTTACAGATAAAGTCTCTGTAGAACCACATTAGTCATCAGACTGTCAACACATCAAAATAGCTACTGTTGGGTTAAAAAATGAATTTCTGCAATATTTTAAACTTAAAATAAGTAATGTTTTTTGGGGTTTTTTTTAAATCAGATTAATTGTACTTTAAATTAGCTAATATTACTCAAAGTTTCAGAAGAGTATATTTTATTTTAGGAAGATTTTTTTTAAAACAAGAAATACATTGTGATGAAAGACAACTAAAAAAGGGCGCTAATCAGCAATAAAAAAAATTATTTCCAGTCAATTTAAATTAGTTTTTGAAATACAGCAAAGTATTTTGCTTATTTGAAATATTAAACCTAATCTTGAAATTAGAACTAATATAAAAGCTTCAAGAAGATTTTTCATTTTTAAAAATTCATTTTAACCCTTAGGTATAACATTTTTGTGGGTGGTCCATAGTCTAAAGGCAACTTTGATAAAAAAAAAATTGACAAAATAAACAAAAGCAAAAACTTGATTTTTTTTTTTCAAAATCATTTAAAACAATAGATTGAGATTTTTTTTTTAATTTCAAATCAATAGGAAAATCTACAAATTTGCCATCTTATGGATCGGTTGATATTTAAGACAAATATCCCGTTGAAGAAGCACATCTACTTCATAGAAAAAAATACATCAGATAAAGGAAGATTAATGCTACAATAATCCAGGAACTGATTTTGTGAGCTTACATAATTTTAGCAACCAATTCACATGAACAAGATCATGGAGGATTTCACAATTTCTGGTGTTTTGCTGATGATTGGTTTTCAGGAATACTCATCGTGTTGATTTTACACTTTACTGGACTTGAAACACGTATGCCACTCAAAAACCTGTACTTAATTCAAAGAATATTCACAAAGAGTTTCATAAAGCATTATGAAGGTTTTGGTAGCAAACTTACCAAACCTCAGGCAAAAGTTGATGCAGTCAGGTTGTTTAAATTTGTCAGCCATTGTAAAATTCATAGACCCATTCCAATACAATGTTACAAAACCTTGCACAACAATTTATCATGAATAAATAACATGAAACCAATTAGAAGACTGACTCAGTAGCCTGGGTACCAATGTACATCAGCTGCACATGTATTTCTAGAGGAAAATCATAGTACATACAATTCAGGAAATTTCTGATAATCCCAACCTGGATACAATAAAATAGACCCAACTATATTCTGTTATTCCATATGGTGGGTAACATCATAGATTGCTTTGTTGTGTTTGAACCCACACAGCATTGACCCTTTAAGAGATTAAGATGAGATGAATGAATAAAAGCATAAAAGTGGGAGTTGTGACACTCACTGATAATACCAGTCAGATTGATCTGTTTTTTTTACAACTTATCAACCTTTAACAGGTTATTTAAAGCCAGAAAATATTTTTAGATTGTAACAATTTTTGGAGATAATAATGATTTACTGATACAAGTTCTACTAATTAATCTATAGCTGGGGTGAGAAGAGGTGGATTCATATATTTGCCAAGGGTAATTTGTGCATAAATGACTGTAAAAAAAAGAAACAAAAAAAAGCAAATGGAATTTGAACTCAGTTCTCTGATTTCCAATTGTTATCCATTACACCAACTGCACATCCAAGCTAACAGCACCTGGTATTCCCAAGAAGTCACTCATCTAGGTACTGACCAATTTTGACATTGCTTAACTTTGGTAATCATACGAGAGCCAATGTTTCAACTAGGTTTGGCTGTAAGCCATGCCAGTGAGAAGTAAGTGAACAAATTTTAATGAACAACACAACCAAAAGATTTTCTCTTTCAGTTTTAATATTCCCAACAGGAACACTTAAGAAAGAAATCTGTTTCATCACTTTCTGTAATCCTTTATACAAAGAATACAGTCTACTTTTACCAGACAGGCAGGCAGGCTTCAAACTTCCAAACTAATTACATTTCCATATATGTGTGTGTGTTTGTTCTCATTAAAAGGGAACACTTTGTTTCCTAATAAGGCAATGAGATCACATGATGGAGCTACTGGACATGAAGTGTACAAAAAACTCCAGTCAGTGTTGGAGTGAAATGAATCTCAATTTCCTGGACATGCTTTCAATTGTTATCTTCTGTCTTCTTAATTTCTGTTCTTTTATTCTTCTCTCTTGATAATGTTTTTCTTTTTCTCATTGTTTCACACTCAGTAATTCCTTGAGTTTTAGTGGCTTTATTGCCTTGCTTCGAAAGAAATGATTAAAAAATATCTATTAGGGATTAAAAAGTGAACATTTTAAAAGTATACACATATTTGCATATATTAAATGAATATGTACTATTAAAATCTTCATTTTTAACACCATAATAAAATTTTGGTGCCCCCTCCAGACTATTCTTTTATATGTGTAAATGTCAGTGATTAATGTTTACACTTAACACACCCACTGCTGTGAATGCACTTATATATCTTTACAAAACTTATATTGCCTGCTGTCAACATATGTTTTCAAAGCACCATGAAATGTTGGTCCCTAGTGTTTATGTTATAAAATAACAAGTGCTTCGTGTTATTTCCAAACACATGTAGACAGATGGTAGCATAAAATATGACCGGTTTTGTGACATGCTTTTTTTATAAGGTGTTGGGGATTTTGTACTAGATTATCTGATTGAAACCAAAATGGTTGTGCACATGAAGAATCAGCATCTTTATTGTCATTTATGTCCAGTATATGGAAATTTCCTATTTTCCCCCCAAACAGGCCAGTACAGCCAGGCAACAATGCTATAACAATGCAGCAGTGAAACTGTTAATAACAAGAGTTTTACCTATCAAATTTGGACTATATCAGTTATAATGATTGGAGCTGTTTTCTAGTTACAAAACAAACATGTGAATATATGTTAATTTCTCTAAAAGAAATATAAAAACCATAAATAAAAGTAACATCAAAATAATGATCCCAGAATATTGGTCATATCATTAGCACTAAATATACATATACAGTGTGGCGCAGATAAATCTGGAATTTCTACATAGCAACAGCGTTGTGACGTCACAGTGTAGCTAGGCTTCAAAAGTGCCATTTTTAAGTACTACACTGCAGTAACCATTGATGCACAAAGTGCTTAGTAGAGAACATTTCTTCAGAATATGATCATCAAGCTACTGTTGTGGAGAGCCTTCATGCTGGCTACAAAGCTAAAGAAATCATTCAATGGTTTAAATATCCTAAAATCATGGTCTACAACCTTGCAAAAGCATATGGGGGCCTCAGATGACATGGACAATTTCAGGCTAGAATGCAAGACTCATAAGATATGCTGTGGTGCCATCAAGATGCCAAAGTTCATTGCTAGCATTGCTGAGGTTGTCAAAGAGAACCTCAGCAAAAGCATTGCCAAGGAAATGGGCACTAGCAAGCAAACAGTTAGGTGCATTGTCAAAGAGGACTTGAATTAGAAATGTTATGTGCTCAAGAGGTGACACGTGCTCACCATATCAATGATCGCCCAATTTATTGCTCCCCTCATCACCAAACTGCAATCGACTATTTTGTGTGGGGAATTATGGAGAGGGTGGTGAACAACAGGCCCTACAACACCAAGGAGGCTCTCTAGGCAGCCATCAAGGATGGTGTGGCCAACATAGACAATCATCAAGGCCTACTTCAGGTTCTGATCCCACCCGAAGAAAGTGGTGGCCACTGATGGTGACCACATTGAGTGATTTTTGTACCTTATATATGTGCCTGTGTAGAAAGTTAAATTGAAATATATTAATTTGTTATATAAAAAAAAGCTGTATCTATTATCCATTAATTTTTTTCTGTGCCACACTGTACATTATATATAGAGACACACAATATGCAAACTAGGATTTTCTGGCAGACTCCATAACTGATTCAAATCATAGGAGGGGACTGACTGATTGCTTGGTGATAGTCTTAATGGATGAATTGACAACTTTTCCCACCTTTTCTGGCATTTTGCTAGTGATTGGTCATCTTAAATATTAATCTTGAACAAACACTTGAAGCTTACCATCACATCATGTTGAAACATCAGTTCCCGTACAATCACCAAAGTTAAGCAACGTTGAGCCTGGTCAGTACCCAGATGAGTGGCAGCTTGAGAATATCAGGAGCTGTAAGCTTGAATGTGCAGGTGGTGTAAATGGATAATGACTCTGTATTGTTCATCAGAAAGCCAATTTCCGATTCCAGTCAGTTTCGTTATTTTCACTTATGTGTAAATTACCATTTGGAAATCCACCTCTTCTTCCTCAAGCTATGGGTTAATTAGTAAAACATATGACTAAACCATTATTATCTCAAATAAAAAAATTCTTACAATCTAAAAATATTTTCTGGCTTTTAATAACTTGCAAAGGGTTGATAAGCCATAAAAAATCAATCAATCAAACACTCAAATGATCTTGGAGTGCATGTACCACTTAAAAAAAAAATATTTGACATAAGGAACAGTTATCAAAATCCTGAAGAAATATTTTGAGGATTTCCTTAAAAGATTTGCCAAATTTCATTCAAAACTGGATGCAAGCATGTCGCATGAATTTTTCAGCTATTGTAAAGATTGCAGAGCCAATCCAACACAAAACTTCACATAATTAAATGCGAGTAAATATTATGAAGCCTACGGGTAGACTGACATGGTTGAGTACCAATGAACAAGTGCTTCCCACACATTTCTGTTGGATGACACAATCCTGGAACTTTTTCATGTCACTTTGTGTATATATATATATATATATATATACACACATTAAATATCATGTCAAAATAAAATGTATTCTAGAAATTTCTAAAATTAAAACTTCTTGTTTCTTTATGAAGGGACTCTTCTACTTAGACTATAAATGGATGAGTTTTTTCTGTTTCAATATACTATTGTAACCTGTTATACTACAAGGTAGTTTGTTTTTTTTATTTTGCTATAGACAGGAACTTTTTTTGTTTGTGAACATTTTCTACAAGCCCTTTTTTATTGCATCTACACCCAAATGGATTTTCCTTTCAGTAACACATTTGAGCAGCTTTTTCAGCTACTGTTAATGTAGAATAAAAAATGTCGAAAAATTGACAAGGCCATGTAGGCTTTGTTTCAAGCACGTGCTGGTAATTTTATAAAAGTGTTGTTTTATTGGCTCTCCAATTAACAATTCCAAACTATTATCCATTACACTACCTGCACATCACTTTACAGTACTTGATATTCCCAAGCAGTTACCCATCTAGGTACCGACCAGGCTCAAAATTGCTTAACTTTGGTGATCATACAGGAACTAGTGTTCCTACTCATGCAATGGGAGCCAAGAATTGAAAATTAAGAGAATGGTGATAAATGGGAAAAAGATATGCAAATTATTTGTTTGGTGACATAAATCAGAATTGATTTCTGCTAAATATTGTGAATGTTAATTATAATAAACACGTGAAGATCATGAGAGCATGAAACTTAAGTAGTAACTTAAGTTGTACCTCATTGGCTATCATCCCCTTGGTCATATATTGTGTGATCTTCCAATTTTCAGGTACAGTGATCCTCCCAATCTGCCACTACCACTTAACACCTGGCTGTACCCAATACAGCAATTAATTTGCATTGTTGTCTCCTCCTCCTTTTATCTGCTTACTCACAGCACGGACAGATTTCAGAAACACAATTCATTGCACCAGAGTAGATTGTGCTCGAATAGAGATTATTCACCTAGTTAGTTATGGTCAATACTCAGTTGATACTATACTGCAACAAAACCAATTTAAAATATATTTGTTTTTAAATATTCTTAAGTTTTAAAGAACATTTTTATGTTGATTTTAATATCAGAATATTTTGCCTAATCTAAATGAGATTTCAGTTCAAACAACTGGTGATATGGTCATGATAATTCTCAAAATTACAAAACATATTCTTAGGTTTGTTTATATTAAATAAAACAAATATCAGCGGCACAGATCTAAGTTTCCTGTTGTAGTACATTTTAACTAACCATTTCATACTAAGTAAAAAAGCACTATAATTATTATCTCATTAATTATTTACACTTGTATTTTCATCTTTGTTGCTTTTAACCAAAACTTCAAGATTGGGGGACATTTGAAAACCAAGACTGCTAAATTCTGAACCGAGTTTCTTAGTATGAGCCAAAGTTATTCCAGCTTTTATTTCAAATGTGTCCCCCACCTCCAAAGTTATAAATAACACATTCTAAGCTTTCAAAAGTAACCCATTCTGGCAAACTTGCTTTCAATATACTTCATTTGATATGACAGATTTCTATAGTTGATGTCAAGAAGAAAGTGATTATTAATATTTCCCATATATACTGCACATTACACAATAATCAACACAGATACACATCTTTCTGACATATACATAATAAAATATACAATACATCATGGACCTTTGATACTCAGATCTGTGAATTGTTCTGAAAGCCGAGAAAAAAAAATAAAATAGAAGAGGTTTATGAATTTCCAGATATAAGATACACCTGAAGGAAACCAGAGAATGAATTGGTTAAAATGTGTTCAAAACAACAAATAATTTACTGAACATTGACACTACTTAATTTCAGAACTTCAGGCAATATAATTTTTCTCTGAAAACTGCAAGAAATAAATACAATGATGTGGCAGAAATACCGCCCACATAATGGTAAGATATTAGCAAGATGAAGGCATCATTGCTGCTAATGTATTACCATTATGAGATGCACTTTGCTGCATATTTTGCTGTTTGAAGAAAAACAATCATTCTATCATGTTGAAGAACTCTATAAAATCTTTAAGCTTATATCACAGGTTTTTATTATTTTAGTTAATATGATTATTTAATCTGTTGTACCCAACAGATAACATGTGTAATATAAATATATGACCATCAGGTTTTTCTTACTCCCAAAGAAGGAAGACCACTTGTGCTCTATCACATAATAATAGCATTATGACTTGGGGATTTTTGACTAATAGTAGTTCCATACTAGCTATGCTTGGCCTGTGAATTGGCAAGGAGTTTCTGCTGGAAACCATCCCCTATGTGTACTGTACTAGAGTCTTCAATTTTTTACCAATAACCAATATAGGAAGGAATTTTACTTCCCATTTCAAATTCAAAGTTGTCTTTCTAGACAATATATTTCCCTTATATTTTATCAAATTCATGAACTATCAGGTTAATAAAATAGAATTTTTTCTTCACTGTTAATTGTGAAATAAATATTAAGAATTATTCTCTTTAAAACATTTCTTTAGTACCAGAGATAATTAAATACCGTATTCTCTTGTGCATAATACAAGAAATTTTGAATGAAAATTAAAGGTAAAAAAAAGGCAGTAGTATTATACACAAGTACATGTTTTCTGAAATTTTTACTCGGCTTAAAAAAGCCTCTACTTTGAAACAGCAAGATTCCAAATACACTCACTTCACACAATAGATAATAAAAGATAAAGTAGGCAGGTATTGATAACAATTGTTTACAAAAAGGTATTTGTTATGTTGGCAATATTTTATTTGGGAATCAGCGTAATTTAATGTCTTTTGTCTCAAAGACAAGAAATTTACCAAAATTGATGAATAGAATACACAAGATCTGTCATGTTTTGCTAACATTAATATTAGAACAAAGAACCTTTCCTCATTTTTGAAACAGAAATTAGCAAAAGAAACATGCAATGGTTAAAAATCTGTTTCCTATCTGTTCTTTAATATTGTGAAAATGAAAAATTAAATATTTTTGTGAAATGTATGTAAAACAAAGATTTTAATGGATAATATGGTACAACAATTTAAAAAAAAATTACATAAGTCTGGCTGTAGTATGGGGTTACATTATAGTCAAGAATGTCATTTATTCTGTTTTCAGCTTCAGAAACACAGGGTTATTTGATTATATGCAAATCGTATTATACACAAGGAAATACAGTACACAGTTTTATACTCCAAAGATGTTTATCCATTGTTTTATGGCAGAGAATCTGCTATTTTTTCTTTTTTTAATCATTTCACCCCAAGCAATGTGGTAATGCCATTAGTATGCAGGGAGTTACAGGAAGTGAAAGAGAAAACTGAGAATAAGGAGGAGGATTTGAGGAAAGGACAAATGATGAACGGGGTTCAAGAAGACAAAACAGAGCAACTGATGTTTCATTTATACTTTCAAAGATTGTATTTATCAGGGAAGCAAGTAAATGGAAGGGAATTCCATAGGTGGGAAGTGTGAGAAAAGAAGCTGTTGAAGTAGAAGTGGTGGTTACATTTAACTATTTCAACAGTAAAAGGGTGGGACCTAGATGCCAATCAAGTAGCATGCTTACATTTATGTAGTTGGGGCACCAGGGAAAAAAAGTTCATCAGAGCAGTTGCCATGACAATAATTGTAGAAAAGACAGAGGGAAGCCACATCATGTTGGTGAGAAAGTGACTGAAGTCAAGATGCCTGATCAGGATTGATTACATTACAAATCTTTCTTCAGATTTTGTCAAGAATCTCTAGATGTAGAGCTGGAGCACCAGACCAGATATGGCAGCAATATTTAATGCACACCCAAATGGTAGATTTGTAAATGTGTAAGATAGATTCTGGTGAGAAAAAATTTCTGACACAACACAATGAACCAACTTTCCTTTCAGTAGATGCAGTTATTGATTTGATAGTCATTCCACTTTATGTCAGTGGAAAACAGGAGACCAAGAAGGTGTAATGTTCTTTAAGTAAAAGAGTAATTCTTGATAACATAAAATAGCTTATTTAGGAGCTGGTTTATTTACATCTATCACTTTAAAAAGTTTTCACTTAAAAATAACTTTGAAATTGTTGTTTTTTTTCTAAACTGGTGAATCATTTTCTCAAGTGATATTTATATCAAAATGTATGCTCTTAGAATTATTTGACAACTTTTTATTAAAATTATTAAAAATATATGCAGTTTTGCTTTTAAGCAATTATTCTGAAACAATAGGTTAAAATTCACATGTTTGATTAATCTCAAAATTAAAACAAGTTGTGAAGCATATAATAATGTCACTTGAAGACATAACAAATATTCAGTTTAAGAAGATAAAAACTATTAATATTTTTCATAATAAAATTGAGCTGTGTTCAACATTCTAAATTAATATTTATATTTTGTCTTGTTTGTAATGCATACATATGTGCACCTGTATGTTTTATGGAAAGACTCATATAAACTGGATTTTATATATGGTCATGTGTTGAAATGATACATCCTTGTGATATCTAGATAAATGTAAAGAGTAGAAAAAGACAGTACTTATAGTTGTACAACTCACATGAGTAAACATGTCAGTGAAAATAGACAACCAGAGTGTGACAGCTGATCTCTCCTCTGATTTTGTTCTAACAGCTCAGGGAAAAAAACTGGCCGGTTCCATTCAATGCTTCAAAAACCAAACTAGTTACATTCCATCATCACCAATTGGAACCTGAACGATCAACGATCATGATGAACATATGTTCCTTCAGTGAGGTTCCATGCCTTGAGCACCTTTTGGGATTTAACCCAGACCTCATGTTGATCTTGTACATACGATCAACTTGAAAAATTTACAGGCTGTAAAATTGGTCAGTTCTATGTATCACTCTAGTAAGTAGCCCACTTGTGTCATCCTATACCTTTACAAGAGTCAGGTCAGGCCAACAATGGAGTACTGTTGTCATATATGAGCAGGAGCTAGGCAGTCTTCACCTTCCAATCTTGACAAAGTTCAAAAGTTTCTCTGTAACAAATTATTTTCCACCCTACAACCTCTTTCTCACAGACAAAAATGTCGCAAAGCTCTCACTGTTCTATCGCTATTTCCATGGAAAGAATTCAGATGAACTACGTTCCTTAGTTCCACAAGTTCTAACCATTTACCTTGCTTGTTGCATGCTGAACAGAAAATATGGCATTGCAGAAATTCTGTCTACTGTCCTACCAGCCCGAATTGTCTTAACTGCGGGAAAACAGAATGCAGCTTCAGTGTGAATGATAGAATAAATACACATTTTTTTGGAGAAGACCTGCTTGCCTATGTGGAAAATGCTACAATTTGTAACCCATTTCCTTGATTGAAGCAGGAGTCACAGAATTATATTTGAAAACTTGGACATTGCAAAACACACTTCAGTCAATTGGCGCTCCTTTTGCAGTGAGGTGTGCCAATTTTGGCTAGAACAAGTACAGGAAAAGTTGGGTGGACCAAGTGTCGAGGTAGAAATTGATGAGACTTATCTCCAAATGCAAATATAACTGGGGACGTAGATTGAAAATGGTCTGGCTTTTTGGTGGAATTGAAAGAG